TTCTGACATACATTAACAACCGCTGAAGATCCAACAACTGTCGTTGTATGCGAATTCAGACATCTAGTTGACTTCCTGATTGTAAGGAAAGGCTTTGATGAGAGCAGTAGTGGGCTATTCCTGCATTGTTGTCGTCACACTTACGTCGTTTTGGTTTCCACTAGTGATGTGTATCCCTTGAAAGAAGGAAATCACCGACAGAGGTCACAAGGTCACAGAACAAAGGGTGCACACACGTCGATGCTTTTGGTAATATTTTACCTTGTCTTTTAGAAAGGGATCACAGGTATATTCTTTGCAGAAAAACGCCTCCAAGCGTAACAGTTCTTATTACATTGTTCTTGTCGTCTTAGAGTCATAGAATAGCTGTGGCCTGATGAATTCAGACGAAGAAGTGCACCCCTCCCCCTTTCCCCCGCCGAAAGATAGTAAAAGCATCCGTGTTGTGACTAAATGAACACTGACAGTTACCACAAAGGACAGCTTGGAGTGACATCTATCAAATACTGGTGCATTAGTCAGTGCTCGAGTCGTCTTTAATAGATCACATATCTAAGAACAGTATACTATCTCTGTTCTACCACCGGTCTCCATTTCTCTATAGCATAGATGTATAATGCGTGGGCTAGTTCATTTATCTGAACTTACCTTGGACAGAGACCAAAATACCATATTGTTTTTGACGCACTGCCCGTCCTTCTACCAGATGACTCATCAAGGGGGTGTAGATTATCTTCCTTAATTTATAAACGTCTTTACCTTCCACATGTCTGATCGGTTTGAGCTAGAAAGGAACATCGCATCCTGAAGTCACTCCAGTCGCAGACCCCTTTTTTGGAAATAACAAATTAAACAAAATGTAATCTGTGCCAAGCGGCTTAGTTTACGCAACAGTAACTTTGGAAGCGGTGGTAGTTTTAGCAAAGGATGAAATATAAGAGGTTGCAAAACTTAGTATAGGAAATATACCAAGTATGAAAATAAAAAAAAAATTTAATAAAAAAAATAAAATAAAAACAAACACACACAACAACAACAACAACCTGAGAATTTATAATATGAAATAATACAACTGACAGAAAATAACTAAACTGAGGATCGGGCAAATGAGGAAAACAAACAAGATTAAAAACTACATATAGGAAATTTAATAATAATATTTATTTAAAAAAAAAAAAAAAACAGATGATGAAGTATAGCCTCTACTTCCTAGATTTAGGAGACAACAATCGATACAGAAGTTCGGCCATTTGGAGTAGAGCAAGAGAACTGAATAGAACTATAGATAGAATAGGATTTGGAACAGGAGGAAGCTTCAAGTCTTAGATATCTCATATAAACGTTAAGCTGACGAGGAGAGTTCACTGCTGGAGTTTGTCTCAATAGCAACTAGTCGTTAAGCTTCTCATTGCACACCTCGCTTGTCTGGGAATGAACGTAACGTCTTGGACAAATCCAAGTTGTCATCTGCTGATGGCCGGATTGGACAAGGGAACTGTTGGAACTGCGTAGTCAGTAAATGGTTAGGTGAGATTTCTGGGGATGGGGCACTACAAAAACGGGAGAAGATGTCTGAATGCGAATCCGACAAAGACATCCAAGAAGAAACAGAAGCGACTGAATGGGGCATGGAACCGCTACAAACTAAAACACCGATATATTTAAAAAAAAAAAAATGGAAAGTTTCGATCACAGTTATGTTTTTTTTAATGTTCGCCAAAATGGGGGGTGGGGGGGGGGGATGTCAGTGCTTTTACTAAGTTTTCTAGTTTTCATTCGTTGTTGTTGTTAGTAGAATTTGTGAGAAAGTTAATTATTCTGTTTGTGTGTTCCGTTTGTGGAACTTGATAAATATTTCACTTTTATTCGCATTTGATATCGACCCTATAGCAGGCAGGGTCGCTTCACAGAGATATAACTAAAGTCCGTTCCAAAAGTTGCAGCCTCAGACTTTAACAAACATTTTGAAAACTCCTGTAGAGATCAGATGGTCTCACATTGCCCATGTCCTTATGCCTTGATAATTTACAATTGTAAAGGTGATGCTATTTTCATTTACTTTTTATGAGCCAATCATCAAGCATCGTGAATTTTCATGAGTATCCACCTCACTGTTGAAAAAAAAAAAAAAAAAAAGCGCTTCTTAGTTTTTAGCACGGATTCCTCTAAAACGTGCTCAATGTGATGTTAAGCCAAGTTCGCTTCAGTCCTATTTCTGTAAATATGCTAATTGTATAAGCTTTGAATTGGGGTCTCTCCCCCATATGCCACAAACAGGGCACAGTAAAATCTAGATGTTTCTGTATAATTATTTTTTTCTACAAGCTCATGATTATTAGCAGATTGCATGCCAAATTTCAACAATTTAAACCAAATGGTTACTGAGTTACAGATTTTTAAAGTTGGTCATGAATTTTAGAACATACTGTATAGATCAGTGCCTAAGGACTCGCAGAATGGTGCCTTTTTGGGACTCACAGAATGGGGCTTTGTTGGGACTCACAGAATGGTGCATTGTTGGGACTCGCAGAATGGGGCCTTGTTGGGACTTGCAGAATGGTGCATTGTTGGGACTCGCAGATTGGTGCATTGTTGGGACTTGCAGAATGGTGCATTGTTGGGACTCGCAGAATTGGGCATTGTTTGGGACTCGCAAAATGGTGCATTGTTGGGACTCACAGAATGGTGCATTGTTGGGACTCACAGATTGGTGCATTGTTGGGACTCACAGATTGGTGCATTGTTAGGACTTGCAGAAATGTGCATTGTTGGGACTCGCAGAATGGGGCCTTGTTGGGACTCGCAGATTGGTGCATTGTTGGGACTCGCAGAATGGTGCATTGTTGGGACTCGCAGAATGGGGCATTGTTTGGGACTCGCAAAATGGTGCATTGTTGGGACTCACAGAATGGTGCATTGTTGGGACTCACAGAATGGTGCATTGTTGGGACTCACAGAATGGGGCCTTGTTGGGACTCGCAAAATGGTGCATTGTTGGGACTCACAGAATGGTGCATTGTTGGGACTCGCAGAATGGGGCCTTGTTGGGACTTGCAGAAGTGTGCATTGTTGGGACTCGCAGAATGGGGCCTTGTTGGGACTCGCAGAATGGGGCCTTGTTGCGACTCACAGAATGGGGCCTTGTTGGGACTCGCAGAATGGGGCCTTGTTGCGACTCACAGAATGGGACATTGTTGGGACTCACAGAATGGGGCCTTGTTGCGACTCACAGAATGGGGCCTTTTTGGGACTCACAGAATGGGGCCTTGTTGGGACTCGCAGATTGGTGCATTGTTGGGACTTGCAGAATGGTGCATTGTTGGGACTCGCAGAATGGGGCATTGTTTGGGACTCGCAAAATGGTGCATTGTTGGGACTCACAGAATGGTGCATTGTTGGGACTCACAGATTGGTGCATTGTTGGGACTCACAGATTGGTGCATTGTTAGGACTTGCAGAAATGTGCATTGTTGGGACTCGCAGAATGGGGCCTTGTTGGGACTCGCAGATTGGTGCATTGTTGGGACTCGCAGAATGGTGCATTGTTGGGACTCGCAGAATGGGGCATTGTTTGGGACTCGCAAAATGGTGCATTGTTGGGACTCACAGAATGGTGCATTGTTGGGACTCACAGAATGGTGCATTGTTGGGACTCACAGAATGGGGCCTTGTTGGGACTCGCAAAATGGTGCATTGTTGGGACTCACAGAATGGTGCATTGTTGGGACTCGCAGAATGGGGCCTTGTTGGGACTTGCAGAAGTGTGCATTGTTGGGACTCGCAGAATGGGGCCTTGTTGGGACTCGCAGAATGGGGCCTTGTTGCGACTCACAGAATGGGGCCTTGTTGGGACTCGCAGAATGGGGCCTTGTTGCGACTCACAGAATGGGACATTGTTGGGACTCACAGAATGGGGCCTTGTTGCGACTCACAGAATGGGGCCTTTTTGGGACTCACAGAATGGGGCCTTGTTGGGACTCGCAGAATGGGGCCTTGTTGGGACTCACAGAATGGGGCCTTGTTGGGACTCACAGAATGGGGCATTGTTGCGACTCGCAGAATGGGGCATTGTTGGGACTCACAAAATGGGGCTTTGTTGCGACTCACAGAATGGTGCATTGTTGTGACTCACAGAATGGGGCATTGTTGGGACTCACAGAATGGGGCATTGTTGGGACTCACAGAATGGGGCCTTGTTGCGACTCACATAATGGGGCCTTGTTGGGACTCACAGAATGGGGCCTTTTTGGGACTCGCAGAATGGTGCATTGTTTGGACTCACAGAATGGTGCATTGTCGGGACTCACAGAATGAGGCCTTGTCGGGACTCGCAGAATGGGGCATTGTTGGGACTCGCAAAAATGGGACCTTGTTGGGACCCACAGAATGGGGCCTTGTTGGGACTCACGGAATGAGGCCTTGTTGGGACTCACAGAATGGGGCCTTGTTGGGACTCACAGAATGGGGTTTTGTTGGGACTCACAGAATGGGGCCTTTTTGGGACTCGCAGAATGGGGCCTTGTTGGGACACAGAATGGGGCCTTGTTGGGACTCGCAGAATGGGGCCTTGTTGGGACTCGCAGAATGGGGCCTTTTTGGGACTCACAGAATGGTGCATTGTCGGGACTCACAGAATGGGGCCTTGTCGGGACTCACAGAATGGGGCATTGTTGGGCCTCGCAAAAATGGGACCTTGTTGGGACCCACAGAATGGGGCCTTGTTGGGACTCACATAATGGGGCTTTGTTGGGACTTGCAGAAGTGTGCATTGTTGGGACTCACAGAATGGGGCCTTGTTGGGATTTACAAAATGATTTCTTGCTGGTGTCTGCTGACTAGGTAGGGGTGGGATATTCATATATTTAATCAGGTGAAGATGAAGCCAGTTCAGTGGCTTGTGTGCTGGGTATTCTGTATATAAAGTAACACGTTTGCCAACACTAACACAGACACCTGATGTATGTAGCATTTAATAACGTCACATTTTCTGTCATCCACAGAGTTCTAGCACTGACATGACACATGAACAGTTGCAGCAGCACCTCCAGGAGCAGTACTTTGCCATGGCTGGCCTACAAATGGATACACAAACTCAACAAAGCAAGGACAGTCTTCAGACTGCAACACTGCAAGCCAAACTTCGGAGCAAGGATCAGGAGATTAGAATGTTGAAAAGTGAACATGAGCAGCATATGTCGGCAGTGTTGTCTCATCTCTTGTATTTGGAAGGGCAGATGCAGAAAGAACAAAATCACATCCTGGAAATTTTACATGAAAAAGATGACATAATCCGGCGACAGAAAGCTGCTATAGCAGACTTAGTTGCCAAAAATAATCGATATCTGCAAGCACTGAAGGAAAGTCATGGGTATTCTGCTGACAATGGTTTGGTGAAACCACAGGGTCACGTTATACAAGAGAATGGAAACATCCCCGCCATACAGGACCATGGAAACAAGGTCATTCTCAGGGGTAACAAAAACAAACTTGGAGAAAAAGTTCAACCGAGTAGCCATAAAGTTAGGTTCAGGGCAATGACAGACAGACTTCGCCGCCACAAGAGCAGCCTTGAACTTTATCACCATGAGAAACTGGAAACTTTAATGGAGGCCACTCCGAAGTATGGTAGCGAGGAGAATCTGGTTGTGGACAGATCTGGAAAGTCCAGTTTATTTGACAGAAAGGAGAGATGTACAAGTCTTATAGACTATCCTGTGGACCTGTTCGATGTGGACGAAGGACTCACTGAAAGTCCAGACAGTTGTTTTAGTGAAGACTATAACAGCCCGATCATTTCTCGCAATGACTCCACATCTTCTCTTGTTACATTTAATGAAAAGACACCATGGAACACATCAGGGCTACCTTCTGCTGCTACATACGGTTTCAACGAACTGTCCAAGTCTAGATCAGTTCCTCATGCTCTACCAACAGTTGCAGAAAATGATGGGACCCCAGCACATTTAAGAGGCCGCCCACACTCGCTGCCAAGTGTGGAAATGTTGCCGAAGGATATCACAACCACACCAAACAGCAACAAACCACTTGCAGCCAGCTCCGACAGCAGCATTCCAGCGAGCCCAAGTACCAGTAGTTCACAGCCAGCTTCCGACTCAAACCCATTCAAGAACTTCAAAAATGTTTTCAAGAGAAAAGGAAGCAAGAAAAAGCGAACGGCCTCCATGACATCAGGCAAAGATCAAACAGATGCTCTAAAGCAGCACTTCAAGAAGTATGACATGACCTAACTGCACACCATCTGTACACTAAGAAGTATGACATGACCTAACTCCACACCATCTGTACACTATTGATGGAGGCATGATATCAGTGTCTGCCTGTAACTAGCATGTCTTGCAAAAGATCACATTATTTGTGATTGTGTCTGGTCTTATCTTGTTGAGCAGCAAACAGTGCCATGTTTTTTGTGTGTGTCAGGATGTACAACATAAACAAGTTAGTTTAGGGTAAGGTTCAAACAGGACAGTAGCAATGGTTTGCTTTTTAAAAACAAAATTCATTTTGTTGTTGTTCTAGGAAGATGCACATGTAAAAGATTTCCACATCTGTTGACTGTTTTTGTTTTCTTTATTTGACTACTTAGTAAAACTTATATTGTCCTTTAATATTTTTTTTACTTCTTAGATTTAGTATAATTGAAATTGGATGACCTTTAAAATTATTGGTTTAATGTGCTTCAGTTTTTTGGGTGCTTGTTTTTTGTTCATTGAAACTGTTGCTAGGCACAAATGTGACTGGCAAGCTTGTCAGGCTGCAACATGTATATAGCTTTCTCATGATTTACATTTACACCATTGTTTACAATTTGATATTGCTTTTTATATAACCTGGTCACGTTGTCTTCATGTCATGTCAAAGTTGTCTTGTCCAAACAAATGAACTTTATCTTCACAGGGCTTAGAGTCGGCAGCAGCCCAGCTAACATTTTTCCTTTCTGACCTCTGACTTTGAATATATTATTTCATTCTTATGTCCTTATTCTTTAATCTTGAAAAACAAAAACAATAATATATATCATGTGGGACATGAGAAATGTGTCAAAACCATTGCTTCCTGAATAATTTGTATTAGTTATTATTGTAATTGTAATGAGATTAAGGAAAATACATCACAGGACACGATACAGATCAAATGTTTGGTATACCATTTTTTAAAGGAATCATTAGTCAGTATTAGGATAAGGTTCAAATAAATGCCGCAGGGGTTGGTAGAATCTTTGTGTTGCTGTGGAGAATGGTTCAACAGTTGAGCTGTAGCTTAATTTTTTTTTAAAGTCTGTCTTCGACTCAGAACTATCAGATGGAGACAGACTACTTTCTCTGGACATTCCAGGACAAAGGGAAGACTGGAGCGGAAAAGTTGTAAGTGAACAGAGCAGAAAAGAGGCAATGTTTGACCACTTGGCATTATGGCATGGAGGGACATCTATGATTGACAGTATGTGCATCAGAAGGCTGTGGACAAACATGGTTGCCAGCACCACATTCATACAGTCTGGTTTCTTTGAATGTCTGCTTGTGATGTTTTATAGCCCTGGCCTGTACAGCTAATGCGCTTTGAAGTGAGCTAAGTGGTGGCTTCCTGTCGACTTTCTCAATGTCCACTGTTCTGAAACATGACATTAGTGGTGGCTTCCCGTCGACTTTCTTAATGTCCACTGTTCTGAAACATGACATTAGTGGTGACTGCCTGTTGACTTTCTTAATGTCCACTGTTCTGAAACATGACATTAGTGGTGACTGCCTGTTGACTTTCTTAATGTCCACTGTTCTGAAACATGACATTAGTGGTGGCTGCCTGTTGACTTTCTTAATGTCCACTGTTCTAAAACATGACATAAGTGGTGGCTGCCTGTTGACTTTCTTAATGTCCACTGTTCTGAAACATGACATTAGTGGTGGCTGCCTGTTGACTTTCTTAATGTCCACTGTTCTAAAACATGACATTAGTGGTGGCTCCCTGTCGACTTTCTTAATATCCACTGTTCTGAAACATGACATTAGTGGTGGCTCCCTGTCGACTTTCTTAATGTCCACTGTTCTAAAACATGACATTAGTGGTGGCTCCCTGTCGACTTTCTTAATATCCACTGTTCTGAAACATGACATTAGTGGTGGCTTCCTGTCGACTTTCTTAATGTCCACTGTTCTAAAACATGACATTAGTGGTGGCTCCCTGTTGACTTTCTTAATGTCCACTGTTCTGAAACATGATATTAGTGGTGGCTGCCTGTGGACTTTCTTAATATCCACTGTTCTGAAACATGACATTAGTGGTGGCTGCCTGTTGACTTTCTTAATGTCCACTGTTCTAAAACATGACATTAGTGGTGGCTGCCTGTTGACTTTCTTAATGTCCACTGTTCTGAAACATGACATTAGTGGTGGCTTCCTGTTGACTTTCTTAATGTCCACTGTTCTGAAACATGACATTAGTGGTGGCTCCCTGTTGACTTTCTTAATGTCCACTGTTCTGAAACATGACATTAGTGGTGGCTGCCTATTGACTTTCTTAATGTCCACTGTTCTAAAACATGACATTAGTGGTGGCTGCCTGTTGACTTTCTTAATGTCCACTGTTCTAAAACATGACATTAGTGGTGGCTTCCTGTTGACTTTCTTAATATCCACTGTTCTAAAACATGACATTAGTGGTGGCTTCCTGTTGACTTTCTTAATATCCACTGTTCTGAAACATGACATTAGTGGTGGCTGCCTGTTGACTTTCTTAATGTCCACTGTTCTAAAACATGACATTAGTGGTGGCTGCCTGTCGACTTTGTTAATGTCCACTGTTCTGAAACATGACATTATTGGTGGCTGAATGTCGACTTTCTTAATGTCCACTGTTCTGAAACATGACATTAGTGGTGGCTGCCTGTCGACTTTCTTAATGTCCACTGTTCTGAAACATGACATTAGTGGTGGCTGCCTGTCGACTTTCTTAATGTCCACTGTTCTGAAACATGACATTAGTGGTGGCTGCCTGTCGACTTTCTTAATGTCCACTGTTCTGAAACATGACATTAGTGGTGGCTGCCTGTCGACTTTCTTAATGTCCACTGTTCTAAAACATGACATTAGTGGTGGCTGCCTGTTGACTTTCTTAATGTCCACTGTTCTGAAACATGACATTAGTGGTGGCTCCCTGTCGACTTTCTTAATGTCCACTTTTCTAAAACATGACATTAGTGGTGACGATGTTTGGATAAGTAGCAGCTTTTCTTTAGTTGCGTATCCTTTACAGGACGTTGCAGAACCAACCCAAACAGCCCCTGGCTGTTGTGTGGTTTTTCTAGGCAATATACATCCAGTAGTTTGCCATTGCTTTCTGGACGGTCGGCTTTCTTGATACCACTGTCGAAACCAACACAAGGCGCATTGCCTGCAGCTGGGATCGAACCTGGCATCCCGGCATTATGAAGCAAAGCGTTGGGATCGACTTAGCCACAGAGCCGACAAGTAGCAGCTACTTTCTGTTAATTCATGTACACTTGTAGAGCATGTCTCACACATTGGCAAGAAAGCAATGTACCCTTCCTTGTACAATTCCTCACTGTCTTGGGCTGACAGAAGTACAGACGATTCTTCATTGAAGCGATACTCATGACATTGCCACGTTATGTGTAAGATCTTTGAATATAATGATCTTGTGTGTAGGGAAATGTTTGAACATAAATGTCCCCTGTTGTATGTAGGGAAATGTTTGAACATAAATGTCCCCCTGTTGTATGTAGGAAAATGTTTGAACATAAATGTCCCCCTGTTGTATGTAGGGAAATGTTTGAACATAAATGTCCCCTGTTGTATGTAGGGAAATGTTTGAACATAAATGTCCCCTGTTGTATGTAGGGAAATGTTTGAACATAAATGTCCCCCTGTTGTATGTAGGGAGATGTTTGAACATAAATGTCCCCTGTTGTATGTAGGCAGATGTTAAAATATTGACTTGTTTACATTGTGAGCTGTGTAAATATTTCCAGGAAAAATAAAACAGCTGTGTGCAGCTCTATCAAGTAATTATAACAGCTGAAAGCATGAATTATGGTAGTTTAGAGGTGTTGATGTGTACATCTCAGAAATTTAAAAAAAAAAAAAACACACACACACACACACACACACACACAGGAGCACACACAAAGCTGTAAAAACCACCGAACACATACATTACAGCTCAAGACTTGTAGCTACAGGAGTTGTAGCCCACAATGACATCGTTGGTCATTTCAGCTTAGTCACTGGGGTCTGATGTCAAACATTACATGGACACAGGGGTAAACATACACTGACATAACATGCACTGATTGAAAAACCACCAGTCCCAGAGATGGCTGATGTCTGCTCATGAAAGTCACCAACAACAACAGTTAATATTCCAGTGTGACTTTTTTGTTGTTACAACAAATAAGCTCAGCATTGGAGAAGTTGTGTACACAACCTGGTGCTGTACTGTTCAATACTCTATTGTTTACTGCTGAACTTGGGTGAATACACACACATGTTGTGAGGTGCTGTCAAGTACAACAATAGTGTTAGTTGAAATACAATTGTAAATGGCTTCACCCGTGTGCCATGATGTTGATCCGTTGTTCAGAACCTCAAAAACCTCAAATGGCTTACATTTCTGGTGTCTTAAGGTGTGAGAAAACAAACTGGAATATTTGATTTTACAAGGAGAAATATATCCTTATATATTTGATTTCACTGTGTAATACAAGTGAACGTCTTTCCTTATACAGTATATAGCTTCCTTTGTACATTTAGTTCTTGCACTCTTTTTCCACATCTGCAGTTGTCATTGTTTATGTTATTATTTGTCATGTTTGCCTATATAATTCTTTCACATGTTTGTGATGAGCATTATTTCTTATTTCATTTGTTTGTATTTGTTTGCGAACATAGTTTTACTTGTGTGAATGTATGTCTGTGACTAGAGTGACAATATGCACTTTAGAAGTTGTGTATTTACTTGTGATGTGCTCATGTGACTATGTGCTCATGTGACTATGTGCTCATGTGACTATGTGCTCATGTGACTATGTGCTCATGTGACTATGTGCTCATGTGACTATGTGCTCATGTGACTATGTGCTCATGTGACTATGTGCTTATGTTACACACTACTAATTTCTTTGCTATATTGCCTGTATGGTTTGGCTGGCTACTGTTGTTGTCTTTAAAGCCTGTGCTTCCATCTCTGTCAGAGTTGTCTATGCATCCAGTTATTA